AGTTAAACTGAACGTTTGTATGCAGATGGAAACGCCAAACAGACCAGAGATCGCTCCAAAAGCATGAAGTAAACTGCAGCACAGGGCATTCTGGGTAAATACAACCAAAGCAAATGTGTTAGCCTAGCGTTAGAGGCTTGTGGTTTTTAGCTACAGACAAAAGAAAAATCCTCCAACCGCTGAAATCTGAAGCCACTCCATGTTTGTTTCCATTTGGTGAAGAAGGAAGGTGCACTCCGTGTCTTCAGAGGTTTTATGCCTTCAGTGGTTCTTGGTGCAGCGCCCCCACAGGCCAGGAGGGGAACAGGTTGCTCAAAGGGTTTGGCTGGTTTGACTCAGAGCAGAGAGAAAGAGAACCACAGCAGCTGGAGATTTAACAGATGGTGAAGTTCTGGTTCCCACAGAACCAAGTCTACCGGACTGTCAGGTGTGAAAACAGACAGCTTTTCTTCAGTCTACATTCCTACAGTGAGACTGTTTCAGCTCCATATTTACAATATTTTCTCTTTCAGAAGCTAAAGCTTGTTCATCCCTCAGTGTCTCTATCCTGTAAAACATGATAAATATTACATTTTGGCTCATAATAACAGACCTTGCATGTTTATGCAAACAGCCTCTGATCTTCAAAGCAGGCTGATAAACAAAAGCCAAATGTACGGCAGAGTAAACATGACTCCTGTAATCTCGTGCAGTGCAACATCATTTTGTAGCATTATGTAGCAATTATACTCCTACAAAGCTTTAATTCCTCCGCTGCAGTGGGATTCTGGTGAATAATAGGTTCACTTCCTATGTTTGATACACGAGGACCACGCTGTCCAACCACCAGGAGACGATTTGCTTTAATGAGTTAATGAGTAATCAGTTTAAACTGATTTGATGCCTTAAATTTTCTTTGATTTTTTCCCCCTCAAAACTCATAAAGAAAAAAAAACAGGCTAATGGAAATTATGATGAAAATATGATGAGAAACAGACGCATCCCAAAAAGATTTCAGAGGTGTTATGCATCAGACTGTGCTGGATTCTGGACTTAAAACTTGTTGTTGACTAAATATTTTATTGGTGAGTTGGGCTTTATTTTGCAATCCTGTCTGTTTTGTTTCTGTTTTGACAAAAGGGTTTACTGTGTTACAGTTATCATTTGTAAAGAAACACTTTTTTATTTCCATTTTTAGGCATTAAAATAAAGGAAAACACAAACATTTGTACAAAGAGCACGGCTGCATCTGGATGCAAAATTATGTTTTAAAAAATGGAAGCACATATTTTCCAGTAAAAAAATCTTAAATATAACTGGTACTTTTTTATTGTGGGAATTTGATACACATTATTCCATTAAAAAATGTTTATTTGTTATTATACATTTACTTAAAATCAGCTGATTTTAATCAAAGTTATCAAAAGATCCAATGAACCGCTAGTGGCTCTGGAGCCTCAGGTTGCAAAACCCTGATCTAGCTAATATATGAGTTTCACTTTCTGAGATAACCGACGACAAATAATGCACTTTTACACAATATAAAAATTTTTTGAGATGTACTCATAAAATTAGATTAGTGAAATAAAAAAAGTCATTACAGAACCGCATGAGACCTGAACATGCCTCTGATGAAGAGGAGAGGAAGGAACCAGGAGGATGTTGCAGGTCTACCAGAGAACCGCTGCTCCTCCACTAGTTAGAGGGCGTAATGGAGGCCGGCGGGGGATGGAGGGGCTGTTTGTTGTGTAAAGGCTCCAGTCTTCCTCCACCAGCCCCCCCACTGCACATGGTTCCTCCAGGAGCCATCATCTGACAACACCCCAACCCCCACTAGAAGCCGCCTCCTGCCACATGACAAAGCCAGCTGTGAAACCACAGGAAAACGCCCTCACATCCTCAGGATGTGCAGATCATCTGATCAAATGCTAACGCTGACATCTCAGACTATTGCCTCAATCATCTGACTAACAGCTCCAAACTGTAAGATTTTCACTTTTCAACACCAAACGTCTGATATCATTTATATTATATTGGTTTTTCCTTCCAGCTGCTTCCCCAAGCAGCAATCAGATCGATCTGAAGAGTCGCAATCATTGATTTACAAAAATTAAACTGAGAGATCGAGAACCATGATCACATTAAATACAAAACACACTCTGCACTCATTCCACCGTCCAGCAGTTTCTTATTAAGTCAGGATCAGGTGGGACAGGTGGGGGAACATCAGGACGCTGGACACATCCAAGCCGTCCTCAGGCTACGGCTGGATCAATCACAATGAATCGATTCTTGAAATATTCATCAACTAATTTAGTAATCGAGTAATCATTAACCAGAGGATTCAAATGCTTAAAAAAGTTATTACTGTAAAAAAAAAAACCCTTGGAGCAGCAATTTATGTTTTAGTTTCACTTGATTCAAATTCTGTAAAGAAAATGTCCTGTTAAACACTGTTTAATGTCCAGTTATGAATCAGTTAATCCTAAACATGATAAGTTTTCTACATTTTTATTTTATTCAACAATAAACTAAAAAAAGATTATTTCATCCAAATTAACAAATTTGTCAGATTTGTACGTCATTATAGATACAAAACATAGTCTTGGACTACATTTTTCAGACAGTTTCTGCATTTTTAGGGTTAATTATTTTCTTATTTGAGAATAAGAAATAATGTAGCGACCTCACTATCGCGGAAAGTGAGGTCGATGTTTGTGGTTCTAGTCACTCCAAAGGAAAAACCTTGTTACCCTGAAAGACAAAAAATGTCAATTTGCATCCACTATGGCTGCAGGCCAGATCTTCTCCATTCTAAACTTTAGCTCAGAGGACCACCAAAAATCCTTCAGAGGGCTGTAATTGGCCCCCGGGCCGCACTTTGGACATCCCTGCTACACTGTGTTGATGTTCAGTGCAGTTCCACTTTGAGGAAACCGCATCATCAGCTTCCTCAACTCAGCTTCCTGCTCCAGCTCACATCCCACTGGATATACTTTAATTTAAAGAAAACTCCCAGCTAACTTTAGAAAGACGTTACAAACAGGATGTTGCTGTTATTTCAAAGTAACATTTAAAAAAAACTTAAAGTCTGGCTGGTGTGACGAGGTCCTGACTTTCCCAAACAGCACAGCAGCTCCCCAGAAGTTATCCCACATGAAACCCCCCCGGACCACCGAGTCCAATTCATCCCAATGGGGCCACATTCTTGGTGCCACCACAGAGATCTCAACGATTTTTTATTCTGATCCTTCTCATTCTACCATAGATTCAGGATTTTCCAGCCAAATGGATTTTGATTTTACCCAATTTTCATTCCGAGTATTAGGGGCGGGTAATATCCCCTCACAATATATTTCTTTAAATACCGCAGTAACAATATCACAGATGTTATTAGACATTTTCTGTTTCTTCTTTTTTAAGTTGGATTTTGCCAAATATGTAACTTCAAAACTGTTTTTTTTTTACATTCTTTTATAAACTGTCACTAAATAAAAAGATATTTATATATAAATTTACACAAAAATCCCACAATGTGTTTAGTGCATTAAAAAATGAAATGGATTATCATATATAAATGTAAACTAAATTTGGCTGACAAAAACACTCTGAAATCAGCTACTAAACATAAATAAAATACTTAAATACACAAATGAGACAAACTGCTGTGGTTCAACAGAACATTAGTTTACTAGATGTTGAAATGTTTTTCCCTCATTGTGTGCAAAACTAAGAATATTGATTCAATATAAAAGGAAATCTTCCTTTCATAAATACTCAACACCAAAAAACATGTCACATAAAAACCTGCATAAGGTAAAATCTTGTGTGCGTTCCTAAAGCTCAGGAACTTCGTTCATGACTGTCAGTGTTTCGTGTTCTCGTTCTCCTTAAGTTTTTCTATAATCCAGCATAATATGAAAAATTAATGTTATGGAAAGTCGATTGACCCTTTTTATCCAAGAGAAAATTTTTATCAAAGATGGCAGCTTATCAATTAATTGTTAGTCCATCAATCAACTTTAGATTAACTAATGAAATCAATAACTTGAATCCCTATATCACTCAGTGATAAGAGTTTCTAAAATAAATTAGCTTTTCAATAACACTCTAATTTATTGTATATGAACAAACAGCAGCATGTCCGAAGCTAACCGTTAGCTGCCGGTTCCTCCCAGATGTGACCTGGTGAGCATTTCATCACCTTTGGTTTTGCTTCACATCCAGCTGCAAAGGGACTCCCTCCTCCCAAATGCCTCCACCCCCTCAGACTGGAGACAGAGAGTGGGAACCATGGGGAGTCACCACAATGAGTCTGGCAGAAAAATAAGTGCATGCACCACTCTGCCCCCCCCCCCCTCACACACTGGCTATGTGGAACCATCTGATGCATGTACTGCTGTCAATCAGATCAGGGGGAGGGGTGGCATGATCCTCCATCGCCCCCTAACTTAGCATACAAGTGACAACGTATTACAATAGACTTGCAAAAAACTGTTTGATCTTTAAGGGTCCTCGTGGCTCCGGGGTCATTTAAAGCCTCCATGTTTGAACTTCCTCCCTTCCTGCTGCCAGTTCAGACCAATAAACTATTTCATGCTCATGAGGAAAAGTTTGTAATTCAGTTGAACCGTCTAATGTTTGCTTGATTAAACTATATTTCAGTGAATTGTAGGTGTGATTGCATTTGGGCCAGATGGCTCGCTGGTAAAATAACGGACTAAGAGTCTAAATTTTTCTTCTCCCAACTAGAGTGAATGGCTTCATAAATAACAATCTGCGTTCATCAAAACTGTAATAATACTCTAATTGCAGGTTCAGGATTGACGTGTACAATTTGTTTCACTCTTACTGAATTTTATCGGTTTGGGATTCAGAAAATGCTGATTCTGTAAGGAGACCAGGTCAAAACCTTAACTTTTATGTGTCTGTGTATTGTTGATTAATTGATATAAAGGTTAGATGGTCGGTTGGAGTCCATCTCCAGCAGTCACTGGGTAAGACGCAGAGTCTGCCTTCACCTGGTCTAGAGTCCATCGCAGGTCCATCGCAGGACATCACTGGACGACTGCATGGAAGAAGTGAAGACTTCTGGTTTTCTCTAAGATTCTGAGCAGCTGCAATGTGAGCATTTGAATTCCCTTCTGCTTTTCTCTGAGGCTTGAATGTGTGGTCAGACTGAACATGACAAGAACACGGAAGGCTTGGAAAACGATTATTCAATAGATACTGACTTGTTTGTAAAGTTTGTTACACCAACCAAGAGTTGTGTTTCTGAAGTGTGTTAGGGAGAAAACCCACGCAGCCAAACTCCATGCTGAAAGATCCCAGGCCAGGATTCAGGTTCGCCACATTTCAACCATTATGAGCTGCATCTACAGCCCCAGCAGAGGCAAGGAGGCGCCGGGCCGTGAGGGAGCATCTCTTTCTCTCTGGTGATCCACTTGCTATTTACACAACAGAAACAAGGATGTGCTCACAGGCAGGCTGTTCTTCCTTTTCTGCTACATCTAATAGGACTAAATCTTCTTTCACAATCATCCTGGTTAAAATGCACACACACACGCCAGGATCCCCTCCCCTCACACACACACACACACACACACACACACACACACACACACACACACACACACACACACACACACACACACACACACACACACACACACACACAGCAGCTTTACCCAGTCAGAGTGAGGAGCCTCCACCCTCCAGGGGGAAGCCAAAGAAAGAGCCACCATCTGGGGTTTAGTCATGGTGATGCCAGGGGCTGGGGCGCCAAGCGGGGAGCGGCAGCCATCGCAGACGTAAACAGACACCCCCATCCAGGTTCTGTTTCCATCTTGTGTTTTAAAATTAAGGTCAGAACTTATATTCACTTTGTTAACTATAAAATATTATCTTTCTGAACAATCCAAATTGCTCTACAATATGGAAGATATGGTCTATTATTATTTTTCTGGCTGCCATCGCAGAGGAAGAGGTCATCATATTTGAGGGTCCCTGACAGAAAACAACACCAGTTTGTGGGTCTGCTGCTGATAACAGCCTGGGTGGTCCGTCACGACTCCATGCCCACTTCACCCACTCGACATTCTGAACACCAAAAACATTAAAAGATTGAACCGAGACCAAAAGGTCACAAATCCCTGTTTCTGAAACATTACAATATTTTTTTAATCTCCAACTCCAGTCCTTCAGGCCACCGTTCTGCAACTTTTGGATGCATCCCTGCTCTGATACCATTGGATCAAATGAATGTCTACATTCACATAAAACCAGGTTGATGCAACACATATCCAACTTATTCACCGCAGTCTGAACAGCTCAATTCTGATCCTTTGATCCAAAATAAATCACCTCTGTTCCACTTCCATATGTGGAAATAAATCAAGTGTCTGCAGTCTGAACGCTCATGTCGCATTTTATCCAACATGCGTCAAAATTCAGCAGCGGAAGAATCCAGATGGTAATCTAAACTATGGCTGAAAAGCTAATAATCACATGATGAAAGCAATCTGAGTCAGTGAACGCATCATCCCAACCGACCACTTCTGATCCGACTCCACATCCAAACAGAACCGGGTCAGAGGCTGCAGCTCTGTTAGCTGTTAGCTTTCCGTTTATCAGCTTCTTTCATCTGTTGACCGTCTCCTGACCATGCTGTCACTCAGCAACTTCACAATCCATCCAGAGACCGGCCATCTTTACCGCCGTAAACAGAGCGCTGCAGCGGCCATTTACTGCCTAAACAGAGCGTTCGGCGGCCATATTTACCACCCAACATTGTTCCCCAGAGATGCTGGGGAAGAACTGTGGGGTTGGAAACCGGTCACACAGAAATCTGACTTCAACAAAAAAACTGGAAAAAACTATATGCATTTCCACAGTTCCAGCAAATATTTCATCCTCAGAGTCTTAGAAAACTTGAAAGATGTTCTTGAGTTGCTGTTGAAAGCAGCCAATCAGATATCAGGGGCTTCTATAATCCCACCCACTGAGTCTGAAAGGTGAAGTTGACAGTTTAAATTAATTCACAATGTGGTTCAGCAAAGGAACCTAAAATAATTTATGAAATCATGACAAAATTATATCTAGTTTAAAAAATAATAATAATAATCAAGACATTTAATTGTTTTATTCTATATTTGATCAATTATTTGTTTACTTTCATCTTTAACAAATTAATGGCACGTTTAAATAATTTTCTCATGAACTGTTGATTGTAATTTTTCATTCTTCACTCTTCAAAGTTGCTGATTCATTAAAAACCAGAAACTGCTCCTCAAATTCAGTGATCTTTTCTTTTGTTTTTTTCTCCTTTATGAAAGAATTTAAATATTTGAGTTTACATTTACATCTTTTTAACATTGCCACAAAATGCAAGAAGCTTTAAATTATTATTAAACCCAAGACCCAGACCCAATTGTAGTGCCGCCTGATCTCAGAGGGACAATGACAAGCAGCTAATTAAGATGCGTAGTAAAAACAGACGACCATGTGCCAAACAAGCTCTCAGCAGGGCCGTACTGACAAGCCCAGGACGGAGGCCCCTGGCACCAGGGCCCATGTCTGGCAGAGCGACTCCCCACAGAGGATGGCGGGACCTCTGGCATCATCTCATTGATCCACAGCCAAAAGAAACACCAACAAGAGACAGAAAGTAAGGCACAGTGGCGCGCCGGGTCGACCCTCTGCTCTTCCTCTGCATCACTCACCAACTAATGTGCTTCAGCTTCCTCCCTCCCCTAAATGCCGTCTCCAGGACACTTCCATCTACTTCCTCCTCTGCCCTTCCCCTAACTCACTCGTTTCCTTTGCTCTAATCCTCCGGCTCGCTGTCTGGAGTGGGAGGAAAGTGGGAACCAGTCACGGTGAAGTGTGTCACAAACAGGACAATGTGTGAGGGGCTCCTTTGTTGGGAAGCCTGGGTAGAAGCTGCCACTGCAGCGCTGCTGGCCTGGATCGCTGGATTTGTCAAAAATCCACTTTGGCTTCAGTTTCAAAGGTCAATAAACACCGAGGTCCCAGATGACGGATTTGTTCATGCATGTCGGGAAAACAAGGGCCTTCGCTGGGCAGAACACTCAGCGCTCAGGTTCACTTTCACTTCCTCACAGATATACTCAATAAAGGCTCCAAAACAGCAAGTTAACAACATTTAGCTTTTGGTGACATTTCTAAACTATTATTACTACGTCAGTGTAAAAGTTGTAGCCAAATCAAGAGTGGCAGAGAGAGCGCAACAGAAACCTCACATAATTCACGCCAACTCGCCGACCCGGTTTAGAAAGTGGGATTAAAATAATTAAATATAACATCAAGAATAATAACCATCAAATATATTTATCAATGTTCTAGATGTTATTAATCAAAGGCAGCTCTAACCAGGCGGGGTTTTAGTCTGGATTTAAATGAACTCAGTGTTCGACTGTTTTCTGGGAGTTTGTTCCAGATTTGAGGTGCATAGAAACTGAATGCCGCTTCCCTATGTTTGGTTCTGGTTCTGCTCTACATCCAGAACCAGAAGACCTGAGAGGTCTGGAATGTTGACACAACATCTTTAATGTATTTTGGAGCTAAGCCATTCAGTGAATAATAATGTAGATATTAAATAGGAGAGGTCCAGGCCTGAGCCTTGGGGTTCCCCACCTGTGACTGATGTCTGCTCCAATGAGAGCTTACCTAATGACACAAAGAAGTTGTCCTTTTGGTCAGACTGGAACCAGTCAATGCAATTTGTAATTTATAACATCAAAAGTTTCTTTAAAATCTCACCCTGGTCTCATAGACCAAATATACTTTTTTTTTTTTTTTGCTGAATTTATGGCTCTGGCTAATTTACAAACTGCAAGATAATCAAAACCCTATGAGAAACCTACCTGGGGACGAAACAAAAAGCACAAAAACATAATCTGTTTAATTAGTTATTAGGGTTGTGAGCATGATTAAAACAGGCCATCTCTAGATTATAACCTGTGGAGGCATGAATGTCCACACCCACTGACTCACCGGACACCAGAGGGAAAACCAGGAAGCTGCTCAATAAGGCAACACAACAGGATTAAAACTCTTTGGTTTACGGTGTTTCCCATCAGATCCCACATTGCAGTAGTTCTAAAGACCGACAAGGGAAACGTTGATTTTTCCAGCAGTGAGGTGCCTCCTGTCGCAGAACCAGAACTTTTCCTCACTTATCTTTTCTCTCTAGCTAACAGATGTGGGAAACATGATGTGAATATTTCTGCGTTTAGATGATTTACATGAAAGACGAAACTGACCAGAATAAGACAAGCAGCAGAATAAAGTGAAGAGTGAACGCTCGCTGCTCACTTCCTGCCTTCTCATCTGAACACTTTCCGCTCTAAAGCTAAAGCTGTCTGCTTCACTCAACTGATCCTTTCCAGCTGAAAATATGTGGAATATGGAGGAGCAGAAACTGAAATCAAGTTCATACTTCCTAATAAACTTTCACAACTACTATCTTATTCTCCAAAACGCTTACAGTAGCCATGACGAAAGCAGAAGTAGATGAGTGGCCCGGCTTGTCTGGTTGCTGCTATGTGGCATTAAGCAAAACAAACATGTCCGCCTGCAGTTTCCTCTCATTTCTGTGACACAACGTCCTCAAAAAGTAAACATGCTGGTTCCAAATGTTCAGAATCCTAAAGCTGCTGTTAAAACTGTTTGTGTGAAAAGAACAGCAGGATAAAATAAACAAGCCAGTTTTTAATCATTAGTTCAGCAGATCCTGAGCCGTTTCTATCAGTCCTTTCCAAGATCATCCTGTTCTCACAGCATCTAAAACATGATATCTGTCCAAAAGTTGGCTTTCCAGACCAAGATATAATAATATATATGGGGTAAAAGCAGAACTGTTACTAAGTTACTAAGAAAATGCATTTTATATTTACCCAAATGTTGAACCCTTAAAATGTATTTAAAGCATTTAGAGCACCTGAAGCTCTACATCAAGAATGACTCTAGTGGATGAGATTTAACCAATGTTCAACATTTGTTACATGTTTCTAACAGAAATCCCTTATGTTGCACGAGAAACCACCAGCACCCTTTCCCTGTTCCCCATTTAAGTTTCTGCAGGGGTGCACAAACTATTCTCCAAAGAACTAATCCATCGAAATTTTTTTGAAATTTGGATCAACAAAATGTCTCCAAGCTTCACCTTCTTCACATCACAGCTCAGCTTTAAGTCAGAAGTCCAGACCAGAACGAAGCATGATGAGGATTTTATGGATTCAAAAACTTCCGGAAATTAATCCAGAGCCAAAACAATTCATTAATAATTCCAAGAAATGTGAAATGTTTTATTTCTCATCTCTTTTTGCACTTGGAAAAAAACTTCAAACGTGTGACAAAAAGTGATGTTTGAATTATTTTGCTTTTAAGCAATAAAACGTTTTCTATTAAACAAAGAACTGAAATGTTTTTGCCAGTATTTATTCAATTACAAACTAAGTTTAAAATAGCCCTAATTAATGAAACTGAAACCATTGAAAAATGAAACATGCTGGATTTTAAGATTACTAGTAAAACAAAGAAATTGCGGTTCAGAAATCATGTTGATTTTTCTGTCTTGGGATTCAGTAAGTCTAATCACAGAGTCCTTAATTAGCTTAGCATTTCACTCAGACGCAGAAATACCATTAGAGCGCCATCAAACTGACAGTTTGAAAGCCATGGATTCAGGTAATCGGCTGAAAGAAACAGAGTTCTAAACTTTTCCAGAATCAAATTCCAGATATTTCCAGAAGTTTTTGAGACATTTTGTTCAAATGCCCAGAATGATTTGAGCACAGCTGATCCGTTAGGTTGACTTTATATCTTAATCCAGAGCCAAGAAGTAGTGAGAGTGGCCAGAAACCTCTTACTTCGAGAGTTGTGTTCTGCAACTCTGCAACACAACATTGTAGTTCAGCAATGAGCTAACAGGCTAAT